CGTTAAATGTCCCCTCCATGACTAACCTCTGTGACCCTGACTTCTCTGGTGCTCTTATTAATTACTAGAGGCCTGGTGCATGATATTCGTGCACCAGGGGAGGGGTGTCCCCTCAGCCCAGCCTGTGCTCTCTCCAACCCAGGACCACTCAAGTGATGTCCAACTGCCTGTTTAAGTGAATTAAATTGAAGTCTGCTCTGAGTCATGTTCATTTCTTTAAACTAGCAGTCGGACATCCTCTCACAATCCTGGATTGCTGCCTCCTAACCACTCACCTGCCTGCCTGCCATCGCCCCATGCATCCTTCTGTTCAGTCATTTGGTCGTCCCTCACTAACCCCCCTGCTGGCCTGGTCACCCCATGCCCCCTGCTTGTTCAGTCATTTGGTCGTCCCTCACTAACCCCCCTGACAGCCTGATCGCCCCACGCATCCTTCTGTTCAGTCATTTGGTCGTCCCTCACTAACCCCCCTGACAGCCTGATCGCCCCACGCATCCTTCTGTTCAGTCATTTGGTCGTCCCTCACTAACCCCCCTGACAGCCTGATCGCCCCACGCATCCTTCTGTTCAGTCATTTGGTCGTCCCTCACTAACCCCCCTGCCGGCCTGGTCATAGGCAGCCATCTTGTGAGGGTGTGAGGGTTAATTTGCATATTACCTCTTTATTATATAGGATGGAGAGTGCATGTGCATCATTTGATGGTTTATTTGGCCTCCTCTGTCTCAACGCTCTTTGCCCCCCACTCAATAATATGGGATTTTTACACCCCTTCCATTGACACATTGCTCTTCTCCCTAAACTGTCACCTCCATATTTGCCTCTATGTCAAACCACCCAATAAATATTTATAAAACACTAGAGGCCTGGTGCACAAAATTCATGCACCTAGGCCTGGCCAGTGATCGAAGCGTGAGCATCTGGCATAGAAGGGCAGGTTCCAGCTGACCTCTGGGCCCTGGGCAGTATCTGGGACCCTGGGCCTCCACGCACCCCCCTCTGTCTGAGTCACAGCACCCAAGTCCTCACGTGGAGATATGGTGAGTGCAAACAGACGCCATGGGCCAGGGCACAGCATGGGTCTCTGGGCCACCCAGCGGCGCCCCACGGAAGCCAGGAGGGCAGCATGCTCTCTCCCGGAGACTCCTGCCTTGTTACATGCTGCCCCCCAGTGGTCAGCATATGTCATAGCAAGCAGTCAAACTCCCAGTCGACCGCCCACCTGAGGGGACAATTTGCATATTAGGCTTTTATTATATAGGATTTCTACCTACCCTTTAAATTCTTCTCACCTAAAGGTGAATTTAGGAGCTCCCTGCCATTGTTACCTACTCTTCTTTCTTCCAACATACTTTGTCTAGTAAGTCCATCTTGAAACCCAGTGAGATGAACATTCACTCAGATGCACGCTATTTTCCTAGTTGCCATCAAATACCTCTTGGTTTTGCTTCTTATTTTTTAGTCCCACCACTAAGATCTAGTTTACACTCTACAAACTTTTTTGCTCTTTCTCTTTGCCTCTCATTTCTCCTTTTGAATTTTATCAGCACTTTTCAGGTTAAGTTTCCTACAAAAGTAGTTTTTGTTTTTATCTTTTAGTCATGTGTTTTTTTTATTAGTCCACTTATTTATTCATTATATTGTATATTCAAAGAATGTTAAGTGCCAACTAGTGCCTATTAAGAATGTAAATGTGGCCCTGGTCAGTGGCTGGATTGGTTGGAGCATTGTCCCATTTGTGGGTTCAATTTCTGGTCCAGGGGTATATCCAAGTTGTGGGTTCCATCCCTGGTTGGGGCACATACCTAGGTTGTGGGTTTGATTCCTGGTCGAGGCATATATCAGAGGCAACTGATCAATGTTTCTCTCTCACATTGATGTTTCTCTCTCTCTCTCTCTCTCTCCCTTGAATCCTCTCTCTCTAAAAATCAATAAAAACATATCCTTGGGTGATAATTAAAAAAAAATAACATAAATGTGAACACAACAGACCTGGGTTCTCCCTCACCAAATGGATAGTGTAGCAGGGAAGACAGACACCAGCAAATACATAAAAATAAGTGCATTACACTGTGACAAGTGCTCCAAAGGTTCTCTCCCCTCCCTGAGCTCCTCTGGTGAGGGCTCTCACTAGTGTGCAGTGAGGGAGTAAGGGCCCGGAGGCTGTAAATGGCCAGAGCATTTCCACCAGTGAAGCTGAGGCTGCTGAGAGTATTTTAGGTGGTGGGAGGGCCACAGCCAAGGAAGGATGCAGCCGGTATCTGGTAAATGTTGAGTGCCGGGAGCCGGTCCATCCTTGCTGTTTCAAGGGACCTGGCATATATGGCATACTGTTCTTAATATGTTTGCTCATCTTCTTGGCACTATGTGTTTTAACCAAGGTCACCTCTCTGAGAAAGGTTGTTTCCCCAGGTAGGGATTTTCCCCTGAAGTTAGGGAGGGAATAAAACCCCTTAAGTAAGTGCCAGGCGGGTAATTAATCACTTTAACTATGAACAATCATGCTTAAGCTATATAATCTTTACTCCCTGGAATGGAGATAAGAAACGCCCTAACCTTTGGAATAGAGATTGATAGGATTGGAATCAACTGGTATAAATACAGATGTAACAAGACAACAAGAGACAGAACCGGAGAGACAGAACTTAGAACACAGAACCTAGACACACAGAACCTAGAACACAGAACCTAGAGACAGAACCTAGAGAGAACATGGCAAAAGATCCTGGACAGAAACTGGCAACAGAACCTAGAGACAGAACCTAGAGTCAGAACTGAACGCTGCCTCTGTGTCGTTCCTTCTTCGCCGACTCCATCCACACCTTTGGGGACCCCTGGACCTGCTGGGGTTGGACCCCAGCAGTTGAGTAACATGGCAGTGTGAGTAGGGCATGTGTGTGTGAGAGAGAAGTGGAAGTGAGGGAATACGAATGAACAGCAGTGGGCACTGTCTCCTGTGCTACTCAGTTATTCTCACAGGGCAGGTGGTGTTGCCTTGTTTTTCAGAGGAAAAATCCGAGGCTCAGAAAGGCTCATTCTTTGGACGTGGAGCTGGACCCAACTGCATTCACAGCTCTGACCCAACCTTGGGCTATGCCTGTTCATGCCCACCCAGGCTCCTGTGTGTTAGTGAGGAGCAGAGGGGCTTCCCAGGACACCAGCCCCGCTGAGGCTCCTACTCCCTCTGCAAATGCTGCCTTTATGACACTGGACCTGCAATCCTTGAGGACAAGGAACTGGCGTCCTTGCATTTTCTCAGGGTTCCTAGCACCTCATCCTGCTGTGGGGAGACACTGTATAAATAGTTGTGAATATCTTTGCTAACATCTTTCCATCATGCCTCCTACTGAAGTTTACATTAGAACCACTCGACCACAGGTGCCTTCACTGAAAACCATTCCAGGTACAGGACTGTGCTGCTGGGTGTTGAACAGTTTCCTCAGTGCCCTCTGTTCCCTTTTTAAGGTTCACATGTGCACCAGACAAACAAGAAATATATCAGCAGTGCTCTGTGACCACAACAAAAGTTGGAAATTAACAAGCAGCTCAGGTCATTCAGATGTGCAGCCAGGTGTGGGAATCATTACCTCTGTTGACTTCATCCTGTGGTTAAGTCTGTCTATGGAAATTTTGGGGAGATTTGGATACTCAGGGTATATTAAATAACAGTGGCTTTTAGAAGAGACCTGCTCCTAGCCTTCCCCTCCCCTTTATACTAGTAAGGAGGCAAATTTGAACACCTGAAACAATAATTGCTTGGGGGTGGGGTAGCAAGATGGAGTGTCAGGGTGTACAAATGTAGATTTCTGATAGAATGTAATTTAAAAAAAGGAACTAGTGCAAGGAGAAGTGGTGCCTTGAATTCAAGTGTGTGAGCGAGAAAGAGAATGACAAAGACTGGGAGGAAAGTGACAGAAGGAGAGAGATCAGGCTCTTATTTCAAGAGTGTAGAAGCAAAATGCTGCTTTGTGCAGCATGCCCAGGTGGCGTGCTGCAAATGAAATGCTGTACTTCTCCACATCTCCAGGATTTTTGCAGCCACTGCTAGTTAGGACCAGAATATTGTGTGTGTTTCCTGGGCAGTGTTCTTTTCTCAGGCAAGCTCCTTAGGAATAGATGCTGTTAGGAAGGGAAAGCTCCTGTCAGGGGCAACATGTAGAAATGATAAGAAAAGAAGGTGGACTGAAGGATAGAGCTGGGGATTATCCCAAGAAGATGAAAGAGTATAAGATCTGAGAGGGAAATTTAGTAGAAAAGTTCAAAACCAGGTGTAAGAGAGAACACATCCCGAACTGTATGATTTTGGCTGAGGAATGTGGTTAGCAGTATGTGCATGTTGTTTGCTGTGACTGAATGATCTCCCTCGCCAGGAGGGAGAAACAGCTCTTGAATTCACTGTTTGTGGGCAGGGAGGGCTGGGGCGCTCCAGAAGGGAAGTTAGTGTCAGACAGAACATGTTTGCACTTCCAGCTATTTACCTCCCAATGAAACCTGTGTGCTATATTGGAAACAAATATACATGCATCTTACACAGTCGTGTTGGAAGTAAATGAAACACTTTTATAAAAGTAGTTGTGTCCTAGGAAGATTTTTTTATAAATATAAAATATTTAATGATGCTGTATAGAGAAAATCAAACTTACTAAAAAATAACATTTTCCTTAAGGAAAAAGTACAACTAGATAATATGATGTGAAATTAACACCAGGCTAAATTTTAAACAATGAAAAGTTTTCAATGGTCAAAACTTACTCTGTAGGGGTCGCCCACATCAACTGCTTCTATTAAGACTTCAGGTTAGTTGACACTTTCAATAACTTTAGCAAGTTCCAAACTGGAAAAACCAGGTGTTGCCAGTGGAGGTTGAGGTGAACTGAAAGGTGTGCGGGTGCCACCACGGCCAGCCAGCATAGAGATGCTGTGGTTAGTGCACTTCCTGGACCCGAAGTGCAGCCCTGCGCCTGCAGACAAGGGCTTCACAGTGCACTTTTCTGTTTTTCAGGATGAGTCTTCAAGCCATGAATGTAACCAGCGCACAGTTCTTCTGTATGGTGTGGGCAAAGCACGTGATGAAGCGAGGCATCAGCTGAAGAAGATTACCAGAGATATTTTGAAAATCCTAAATAAGAAGAGCACCACAGAGATGGGGGGTAAAGAGCCCGAATGCACTTGCTCCCATTGTGCTGGCTTATGTCCTTCCCCTTAGTGCAGTCTTTATCAAGTGGGTAGATGGCAGTGTCCCCAGTGTTTCCTCTTCTGAATGACTATCACATTGAAATATGAATAAGCACATTGAAATTTTAAGGCCTTGGTTCCATTTATAGTAATCCATGTATTAAAATAGCATGTTTTATGAGTAGATGTAGGTAGTTTTTATTTTCTACTCTTTTTTTACTTCCCGAATTTTCTACAATAGTCGAAAATGAAGTATTGAAGAATGAGTTGGAAACCCCTTACTTTGGAAGTGATTCCCCTATTCTTTACCAGCCTTTTTCAAGCTTGTAGTTTGCTCTGGGTACTTATATTACATGATAACTGAAAGTCATGACAGTGTAGTTGCTGATCTTTTCTTACATTATTCCAAAGAATGATCGCAATATGTAATGGTGGCTACCAATATCACCAAATATTTTCAAGTGAAAAAGAAAATTACGCCTTTGCTCTATATAATGCCTTCTTTACTTGGAATACTCT